GATGTGAATTAGAGTGTATTTGTTGAGGAGAATTAACAGTGGCACGGTATGTTGTACTCAAAACGGAAGGAAGGAGTGTTACAAGCGTTCAAAGTAATACAGTTAAACAACAAGTACAATTGTTTAATGCTTAATGTACAGAACATGAAAATACGTGCGAAAACTATGAAAAATTATTTACAAAATAGGTTTTAAGGTTCTATCTCCACAGACTACAGTGCAAAGTGGCGCATGGAGGACAGCTGACAGATGCATTTCCAGTAAGGACCGGAGTCAGACAAGGCTATCTACTATCCCCATTCATCTTCCTTCTCGTAATTGACCGGATTATGAAGAATTTGACATCTGAAAGGAAATACGGAATACAATGTACTTCTCAGAATCAATTAGATGATTTGGACTTTGCAGATGACCTAGCCCTCCTCTCTCATACACACAAACAAATGCAGATGAAGAACATATGGAACTCAAAACAACTGTCAACTAATTTCAAAGTGAGAATCTTCAATACGAACGTCAAGACAGTCCTACTGTATGGAGCTGAAACGTGGAGAACTACTACGGCCATCATCAGGAAGGTACAAGTATTTATAAACAGTTGTCTACGCAAAATACTCAGCATCAACTGGCCGGATACTATCAGCAACAGCGTTGTATGGGAGTGGACAAACCAGCTTCCAGCTGCAAAGTAATTTAGGGAAAGACGGCCTTCCAGTGTTTCCAGGTTTTCCATGGTGGTCTAGCTTCAAATGAATGATGAATTCAACTATTAAATTATTGTAATATCCACAAAATCCCTCTGATTATTCTCAGTATTAGTTTCAATAGGATTTCTTCCAAAGCCTACAACTTATCACTAGAAATTCCATGAACTTAGAATTTAAAGACAAAACTCGTTTTATGAATGTTACATGAACAAGAAAAAATCATAATAGAATCAACCATCATTATTGATAATGGTCAATCGTAAAACGTAAAATTAAGACAAATTTTTGATGATAGAATCTTATATAATTCTGGTTCCCATATTGTTATCCAGAATGATTGAATAATGTTTTCTACGAAATGACTGAAATGTTTTATTTTAATTTAATACTCAATAAAATGTGTGTTTTTATATTTTGTTTATATTAATATAATCAATATTAATAATCATTTCATTCCTATTTTTCTTCCCATTAGATTATTGTTCCTTTGAATCAAAATACTCATTATTCACTGGCCGAATACTATCGGCAAAAGCGTTTTATGGGAGAGGACAAACCAGATTCCAAATGGACAGGAAATTAGGAAAAGACGTTGGAAGTGGATAAGACATACATTAGAGAAATCACCAAACTGCATTACGGGGCAAGTCCTAACTTGGAATCCTGAAGGGAAGCGGAAAAGAGGAAGGCCAAAGAATACACTGCGCCGGGAAATAGAAGCCGATATGAAAAGGCTGAATAGCAACTGGAAAGAACTGGAAAGGAAGACTCAGGACAGAGTTGGATGGAGAATGCTGGTGAGCGGCCTATGCTCCTCAACCAGGGGTAACAGGCGTAAGGAAGTAAATAAGTAAGTTAGTTAGAAATGAATATTATTTTACTGAATGGTGGCGAAGGTTAGTTTCCTGGAACGATCAATGATAGATCAGTGTTGACTGAGGAATATATTGTGAAGTTCATGCGTGAACTCGCTAGCATATCTGCCTACTTTCAATAGTTAATAAAATGTAATGTGCGGGATTAAACGTTAACATCGCGTCTATTTGAAGCTGAAATATAGAGCTTGAACAACGGAGTCTATTAACAGTTAAAACATTGAGATAAATGAATAATCTGGTTGTGACACATCGAATGTTCAATAGTCGCGAAGGTTAGATTTAAGATTGTTACTCGATTAAATTTAGCATGTTTCTGTAGTTTTTAATCTTTAGCTGTGAAAAGGATTAACTTCCTATAGATTATAAATGGTTAAAAAGCACTAGCCACTGTGCACCCGATACAAATGTAGCTGAATTTGTTACCTGTTTGTCGCAGTAATTACAAGTAGAGTTATTTATAGAATATCAGCTCTGACTTGAAATATCCACTGCCGTTACAAGAGATTCAAAAAAAAACCAGAACAGATAGACAACATAAGTAATATTACATTTCAGTGACGATATTCACCACAACACATAATCATTCTCAGGCCATTTAAACTAAAGATTGTTGGAGTGATTTATCAGGAGCAAGCAAGTATTTCAGTTTGACCTCACCCTTCTGTACAAAAATGTTCTGTTAGCAACTGTAGTCAAGTTTTTTCCATTGAAAAACGTTAGTGTTGTTTCGGGAAATGGCTCGTATGACTTTACTATGGTTAATATTTTATTTATAGTTCCCACGTTTTATTTATTTTATGGAGCCCAAACTATTGAGTCACTGTTTAGGATTAGAATAGGCTCTACCATCAAGAATATGTATATTTAAATGCCCGTTCTCACCTTTAGTATTTTGTGGTCATTAGATTCAACATCATCGTAATTCAATATTCTTTTTCTACCTTCCAGACCTGCATTCTTATCATTCTCCTTCAGCGTTTGCGCTTCGAGATTGGAACGATGGAAGAAACAACGGCATTCTCAGTTTATATAAAAGTCGTAAAAACTGACCAATCTGTGGATAAACAGTCCAAAGTTTTAGAGGTTGATGATTTACAAGCTCTTTAATCCGACATCGTATGTTATAACACCGTTTAACTGACCGAAAATATATTGGTGGCAGAACAATTAAGTCTAGTGGGACAAACATACGGGAATAATTATGGTGATAAATAACTCCGTGAGACAAGTACACTTGAGATTTATGTTGACCATGCCAGGTGAAACATACACTACAATTTGAAGGCGTTGTAGCAAGTAACACAGGATCACAGGTTAATCTCACACAAGACACTTGTCCTCTTTTTGACAGCTCTTCCAAACAACGAATGTATAACTACTTGAATTCACCAAGACTAAAGAAATCATGTATATGATCTTGTGACCATAAAAAATACAACGTAATGCAACTGTTCCCATATAGATAGAAGATAGGTTACGGTGACTGATTAGTTCAGGGTTCCTTGCAACGAACACTTGATTATATCACAATTAAGATTGTGCTGATAGAAAGTATAAATTGCTTGTTATGTAGGATCTTGATCTGAGTAGTTATATATCGTTCCCGGTAGGCACAATCCCCGTTTTATTTCCTACAAACTTGACGAGGAAAACACTAATTAGTAGTAAGGGGATTGTTCGAGGTTAAACAGTGTAATTTACAACATTACCCAAGGAACTAAATTACCTTCAAGCCCATTCATAAAACATTCGGAAAATGTTGGTATCACGAGATTTTTAGGGATGGGGGTCAACAAGCAAATGAACAGGAGGAAGTTTCGGGTTGTCCACTAAATGTATGTCTCCTAAAGTAGGACTTAAAACACAATTCTATAAGTGACCTACTGAAGTAGAGAGAATTATGACCGATGTGGTACAAAGTGCTCTTACTCTTTCCAACTATTCTATATTATAAAGTTTAAAAGTTTCACACCATTAGTGTTGCCAAGTGGTGTTATTATTATTTCAAGAGCCATTTTGATCAATGTTTTTAGAATATGCATCAAGAAAGTGGTACCTTTCTTGAGTTAAGGGGATACGACGTGGCGTCTTTCTCTCATGCAGCGTTGGACAAACACTGATTATGTCGTGAATAGCATGCTGGTTTACCTTTTGAAAGGGAGAATCCAGAAGGAGCATGCTTTATTAGCTTCTGCATTCGACTCTTTAACCCCCTAAAACCATCTCCAGAGTGGGGAAGCGTGATCGTAAGACAACATATGAAGTTCAGAGTAGACGGATCACTTTTGAGTGTCACTGAGGTTCTTCATTTATTTGTGTTAAGTTCGAAATTTACTATGGTCCAATTGTCTATTGACCGAAATATTCTTAGCCTGTTGAGATTTCTTAGAAACCTTGTATTTCCCTGAAAATAATAGGACTGCAGTTTAGATAAGGGTTTAGGACTTTGTGACGCTAGTTAGATCGTCAATATATCCTACTGCAGAAAGTTACTTACTATCCATAGAATACTTCTACCTGAGTAGCATTTCATCTGTAAACTCTTGTTGTAAATTAGTGATCATGCCAGTAAAAATGACATCATTGGATATGGCTGTGAATTGATGATGGACTTTTTTTAGCTTGTCATAAGCTTCTGATAGTGGAACATTGTTTATGCAGTTGGTATTTACTGTTACTGCAGCAAATAACATTCTTTACATGAACGAGTACTTTGAGTTCTGAGGGCGTATCTTTTGAAAACGAAATTGTACTTCAAATTGTAAGAGCTATATTTTTTGAGAGTTAAGTCTACCTATTATGGATGGAATTATAGCATTTGGTGCTTAATCACAAGCCCGACCTTGTCTATAAGTCTCGTTGGTGCGTTTTGATTATAATTTATCTACGCTAAAGTACATATAAAAATAGCTGCCAAGGAAACGGACGTCATATTGTCTGTTCATGAACTTAGAATGACTGCTTTAGGTCTCATCAGAGTTAAAGTGTCCCGCATGTCGGTTATCGTAGTTTGTAAGGGTACTTTATATGCTTGAGTGGGCGTGAAGAGCATGAAATCCGGAAATAAGAGTAGCAAATATTCTTTTGAGTACTTGGAGCCGGTAAAGTGAAAAGAAGCATTAGTTCAATAGGGTTTCTTGCGTTGATGTATGCCAATAATTACAAAAAGAAAGAGTGACTCATGAGAAAGCGCAGAAGTATCGTGCTTTGCAGCCAAAGACTAAGGTCAATAATCGAAAAGAGAGAGTGACGTAACCGAGCGTCTACATTTTTACCCAAGAAAAAGTAATGGAAATATCAATTTATTGACAAGTGCCATGTTTTTCGCAAGTGATGCAAAAAAGGATGTTTGACATAGATTTGATTAAATTTATAAGTTGCAACATAGGAAGGTAAGATGAAATATTAAATTGTCCTTAGAAAATCAATCAATATATATGTCACTATAAAGTTACTAAACCGATCATAAAATCATCCTTTCCTTCTCATAATGTGTGATTACGTGTGTTAAGGGAAGTGTTTATACTAAAAAATGTTTTATGCCTCTGGGTTGGACCACTCAAGGATTTAACCTTGAGTGTGTTTAATTGACTTACTTTTTCACGATTTCATAGTGTAATGAAAAAGCGCTGTTTTCGAGGTTTCGGATGTTTACGGTCGGCTGATAATGTAGGTGGCAGTACTTTAGTTTGCAGTTTTTAATATATCGATCGTAAGTCTTGAGAAACACATAGATATCACATGTTCAATTCATCTTAGCGAAGAAATTTGACACTTTTGCTAAATAATAATGCTATCTTAACCGGATTGTACTGGTTTATTATAACGATTATTCATTAGTGTAGAGAAAACATTTAAGTATACCACTAATAAAAGGTTGTAGTTTGCGGGTTCTTTTTTAAAATCGGCTTATTTTACAAGATTTTGATCGTAGATTTTGATCACACTAAATAAACCATCTTTCGCATGATAAATATGATAAGATATTCTATTGAATAGTATTTTAACCGCATTTTAAAAAAAATAAACACGGCTTTCACATCATTATAGTAACTGAAATCGGTAATTGAAAACTTTTCGAAAGAAACGAAAATATCTTTTTTGAACATTTTTTTTACGAAAATTCACTATCCGGAGTAAACTTTAGCATTCATTACTTAATCTGAAGGTGATGAAGATGTCACAGACATAAAGGGCTTGAAAGTGTTGTTGTTTTTCACGCCTTTATAATCGGGAATCTCAAACACGACCGAACTAGAAGTCAGGAATGAAGGGTTTTCTTGGTATAGATGGGATATAGTCCAAATACCAAGAAGTGTGTGATCTAAGCCGATTAGCTTTTGCCAGAGACAAAAAGCAGTCCATACTCAGTAGTGACCTGAGGGGAGTGTGTGACCACACCTATTAAACTAGGGTGTGTCCATTAACACCAAAAAGGTTAGCATCAATCTTAAAGACTTACAGGACTACTTATTTTTGGGATCCATTGACCGCTATGATCATTCAGTGGTCGACATGAAATAACAATCAATCTTTTACTTTGAACTCCCACAGTATGTTCAACATGAAACACAAAATCCGAGCTTTATTTGACTACGTTAACTGGTTAAAAAAAACCATAAAGAACTATCGCAGATTGTACTCTTTGACTATCCTTTTTATAGACTTGGGAATAAGATAAAACAATGAACAGCAAACTAGTTCACAGCTGTGACTTGACATCCTGGAATTGTACAAGTGTTTAAATAGAATCGGCGGGATAAAATTATAGAAAATATGAAAGAAATATTAACAAGGATTTTAAAATAAACGCAAGTTTACTTCACCGAAACAAGGTGTAAAACATTTATTTTTTTCTTATTGAAGTTAAATTCAGTCATCAAATTAGTATCAACACTATTGATACGTTTAGTAGCATTAAAATTTTAATAGATTACGAGGAGGTTGCATGAAAGCGAGATCCTTACGCAAATGCCTCTCAACATCTTGAAAATATTATTTTAAAACCATAAACTTTATGAAGGGCTTATAAAGCACGTAATCTTATGATAATAGATGCGTCATAAGGGGTAATAGTTTGTAATTAGCAACAACAACTAGATCAGTGTTTGTGGAGCTTTCAAAATAATTTCAAAATTTGTAACCTATCTTCATGTAGCATAAACTGTTAATATTCTGTTGTTTTTCGTAATATTGTTCCTGTAACTATGCTTAGCTTTTTTCACAGGAAAAGTTGCCTTGGGTGTATTTAGTGTATTTTGATAAAAAACAACTGATTAAGGAAACATGGTGAAAGCAGTGTTTTTCCATGAGAACAGAAATATCAAACAACCTACTTATCTAAATTAACCAGTTTCTAAAATAATGTGCAAAAACGTTCTGATTATACTTATGTCGAGCAGTAAGATACTATGTCAGTAAAACTGGATGCTGAAATTGATTATTATGTATGTTTCATAGTAGAAAGCATGAGTCAATTGAAGCTAGACCACCATGGAAAACCTGGAAACACTGGACGGCCGTTTCGTCCTACTATGGGACTCCTCAGCAGTCTAGCTTCAGTTGACTCATGCTTTCTACTATGAAAAATACTAAATCTCCACAAAACCCCTTCTGATATTATGTATGTATAAAATGTGAGTAAATTTCGAAAGTTATGGGTGTTTGAGCTAAAAACCAGTGTGTCTTGTCTGACTCAGTTAATTGCGAGGACGTTTTCTAAGCATCTCAACTTTAAAAGAAATAATTTTGAATCTATATGTTGTCACTTTCCTTTGATGTTCTGAAGGATCCTTAGTTATTTTTCATTTTAGAAATACAATAGTAAAAATAGATGGAACAGTGCACTACAGCGTCTTCAACTAACATTAAGATAGCAAATTGTCAGAATAATTGTATTTTTAAATTACAATTTCATATATTTCATCCAAGGATCTAATCATTAGTCTCAACAAATATGGAGGATACTAGAAAGATATCAACTAAAAATTATACATGACCTAATGTCATCAAATTATAGCACTCTTACAGTAGTGAAAAAGAGGGAATATATGACGCTCGTACATAGGGATGAGTGTATTACTGAGCAATTAGGTCTATCATTGTGTGGTTTTTTGAGACTATATAATTTTCCTGCAATTCGAAAACCATGATTGCGAAATTTGATGGCCATACTGTGTCCTTCGATTGTCTAAATAGGCCTTACTGCTTTTAGGTAACTACTGCCATCCGAAAAAAGTTGGTTATTGTTGGTGATGGAGCCTGTGGGAAAACATGTTTACTTATTGTTTTCAGCAAAGATCAATTCCCAGAAGTCTACGTTCCAACAGTATTTGAAAACTATGTGGCTGATATTGAGGTTGATAATAAGCAAATAGAACTAGCTTTATGGGATACTGCTGGTCAAGAGGATTATAATCGACTTCGCCCATTATCCTACCCAGACACCGATGTAATCTTGATGTGCTATTCTATTGACAGGTAAGATTATAAGGACGGTTTGATTTTATTTCGATCACCGGAATATAATGTAACCTTGTATTAATTGAATTTATTTTGGCTCGGTATGGAAGTTATATTGTAAGAATGTGAACTAATTAAGTCTACTGGTCAAGTGAAACCTGAAATAAGTGATCGAATTTCCAAAAAGTACTATTTAGAATTTAGACAACTAATAATAACAGTTAAACGTTCATAATAATGAACTGTGAACATCTACTTCATTAAGTTAGACGTGTTGTAAACAGGGGATTTTCGATTTTGTGACCCGGGACAGGGATGGGATCATTTTTCAGTACTAAAACAAATTTACTGAACGTTAAGAAATTGTTTGATAATTTATGAATATGGTTTAAAATAGTATAACGCTAAAGTATTCATCAATTTTAACATACCCAATTTACCTGCTGTTTCAAATTTATATTTATGTATAATTGGTTATTTTTCATGAAAGCTTGCCATAACTATGATTGGGTTTGCAAATTAGAATCTGGTGACTTTTCGAAAAAGTTTTTCTTATTTCTGGCAAAATCTCAAATAATAATAAATCTTATCACCTATAGATACCATGTCTCCGGAAGAGTAAGTCAGCTTGATTATAATCACTTCTGGTTGTTCTTTTAGCAAGAAAACCGGACGAATGCATCCAGTTATTTATATAAGCTAACGTTTGTATTCAATTATTGAACTAAATAGCGTCATCCTGTAGTGGTAGGAAGAAAAATGCTACATGGGGGTCGAAAACATGTTCACTTGAAACTTTCATGCCATGTACGTAAATCACAGTGTGAGATTGTTTTGCCGCACGATTTCTTTGGTAGTCAATTTCCCAGTTACTGATTTTTGGGTTCATTTCATGAAATATCCACTTTGGTAAATTTGATAAGGATTGGAGCTTAGTTACTCACCTTTATCCAGTTTCTTTACCTGATAACTGCAACATGCCATAAATGCTATGGAAAGTAAGTTTTCAGAAATAACCTTATTGACGTCTTGGTTAAAGAATAGAGAAAGTAGCGTTTCAAAATCTATGTATTTGTGAATGATTAGCTAGTCAACTGGAGATATCTCAATGTAACTTGCTTTTTGTGGTTGTAGTCACTTGGTTAGAGGGTATTATAACAGTGCACATTTATGTCGCTTTTCACATTAATTAGAAGAAACGTTTTTAGTTCTTTCTTTTCAATCTTGTGAATAGCCCTGACAGTTTATCTAATATCAAAGAGAAATGGATACCGGAAGTTAAACACTTTTGCCCAAACACACCAATTATATTGGTTGGAAACAAGAGTGATCTCAGATATGATGATAAAGTTGTCAACGAACTTGCCCGTTTAGGTCAACATCCAGTTACATCTAGCGAGGCAAAGGCAGTATCTGCCTATATTGGTAGGTTTTGTATTATTTGGAAATCGTTTCAACGTTTATTCAGTGTCATTTAGTTGATCTGTAATCAATACAAGCCCAACTGTTAGAAACTCGTCAATCCGTGATCCATACAGTATAACCAAAAATGTCGATTGACTTGTTTTAATTACAAAAGTGCACATTCACCTTTTAAATGGACCTGTAGCTAGAGTGGATTAATTTATCACTTGGGTGTGTTGATAGAAATTTATTACTTATATTATAAGCATAGATATAGTGAAGTTGTATGTTTTCAATTGCTGTGAAGTTTATCACCCGTAGGGTATACCTTGTTGACAATCACCAGAAGTCGTTGATGATAACTAAAAATGAACTGACTCTATGAGCCTTACTCAACAGATATTTGTATAGTTTAATCTTATGTAGTCATTTTAACCGGATTTAGGTCGACAATCAGTCTGCTAAAGTTTCACTGTATAAGAACATGCTTTTATAATGTTGATTAACATTAAAACCATTTAAGAGTAGCAATAATAAAAAGTATTATAAACTGATTATATATATATATATATATATATATATATATATATATATATATAATTATCAATTTTCTCTTATTTCATACCTTTCACTTTTCGAAATTACTTTTTCCCTTTCCTTTTTAGTTATCTTATCGGTTTTTTTATTTTTCTATCATAATTTCGACTTTCGTTCTTTCCATCTTAGTAATTTCTCCATATTTTTACTGATATGTCAAGTGTGGTAACTGAAGATTTCTTGCCCGTCGTGGATGGAGGGAGATTAAATCAATAATCAGTGATAATTTTTGTGTTAATCAGTGTTTATCAAAATAAGCAATACTAGGTACCTTATATGCCTAATCATCGTTTTTTTCAAAGATTGTAATTGATGTATTTCGGCAAATAGATTCAATAACGTGATACTTTCGAATATTAATGGCTAATCACGACGAAGTTCACTTGGTCAAACAAACGTTACCGTCTAATAGATGTTTTATGATATTCAACATTTTCTTATCACTAACTGAATTACTTCACTCTACATCTGTTTTACGTCCTGAAGATAGGGCTTCTAAAATTTTCTTCCGCCTCTTTCCGTTTACGATATTTACAGATACCTTGGGAGAAAACCACACAATTAGCATAAAACCATGAAATTATCTGCAATGATAATAGGAAACCACCAGAATAAGTGTCTTTTCATATATTCACAGAAATGTCTATTGTTAATGCCCACTTCATTCTATAGGTTCATCAGTCCGTCAGTAACTCAGTCATTGATAGCGTTTGGTCTCGTACAAATGCATATCAATCTAAGTTACCACATATCACCACTATATCAAAAGAAGATAATAATATGATAGGAAGCAGATAAGTGACAGCATTAAATATTCTTTGTACTTAAAAGCTGAAACATAAGAAATGTAGCTCCAAAAAAGCAAGTCTTGTCTAATAAATAAATGAGAATTAACAGTATACTCAAGAGTGAAACAGAAATAACTAATAAAGATAACTGCATCACTGGTCTCGATTTTTCCCATGTTAGTTAACGTGTTCACACATAAAGTGCACTTAACCTGTGGATTCCAACATCAAAATCTACTTCTAATATCAATACCCACCAAGTATATCGGAAGTAGGTTGCACAACTTTAAGAATTTGTTCAAGTTAAACATGTATACTATTGGATGGCGGCTCAGTAGTCTGAAGGTTAAGCAATTGACTGCGAAGCTGAATGTCCTGGGTTCGATCCCTTTGGTCTTGGTTGTGCATGTACACTGTTGACAAGTTCCATACTGGGATGAAGCAGGTGTCCAGTGCTTTCCGGTTCTCAGGGGGTTATTTAACAAAGATCAGCTTGTGAAGTCAATCGTAAAATTAAAAATCCCCATAAATCTTTAAGTATTGTTTGAGTAAATTAGAACAATGAACAATATTACCAATTAATGTCTATTTTTATGATTTCTGTTCTTTGATTCATTTAATTTACTTTATGTATTCATTTTGGTAAATTAGGCGCTTACGGAGAAATTGAATGTTCGGCGAAAACCAAAGAAAATGTACGTCAAGTATTTGAACTAGCCTCTAGAGCATGTTTAAAAATACAGAAAAAACATAGAAAAAGTTATAAATTATTTTGAACTTTATCTTTCTTTACTTCTTCTTTATTTCCAATAGATAATCTAATAATATTGTTTATCTAACTACTAACCTATTTATTTCTGGCTAGTAAGTGTTTCTTTCACTTTGAGATGATGGATAAATAACTGAACACAATGAATACAAGAAAAAAACTACTGACTACCTTCTCACATTCCTACTTCTCATCTTCAGTTGATCTTGTTCCGTCGACATTGCTGCGTCAAGTACTGTTCGTTTTAGGTTGTTACATCTTTTTATAGTGTTGTTGTTTTTTATTGTTACCATCATTATGTGTACTTTATTTATTTCATTTAAAAAAATTGATCTTTTCTTATCAACAACTAATGTCAATATATGTGAGTATGTATTATCCACTTAATGATAATCATTTGTATATCTCATTTCAATGCTTATTGTTCTACTTTAAAATGAACAGTTATTTGTATAATGAATTATTTTTGATTATTCATTGTGTGCACGTGTGTGCGTGTGTGTGTTTATTATAAATTCCTAAATAAAAAAAGTGTCTTATATCGGTTTTTCTCAGTTATTTATTTTTCCTGTCTAAAATGACTATTTATTTATGATTTGTAACCAAGATAAAATAAGTGAAGAGAGAGAGTGTGTGGTTTAAAGTATGAGAATTTAATTGGTTTTCTAATGATTTGAAAGAGTTATTATTATAATATTTATTTAAACACATTAATATCGGTAAAAGGAAGCACTAAATATATATGCGCCACACAAATCTCATTTGATTTCTATGGGGGCTGTGATACTGCCCGGGTGCCCAAACCGAAGCAGATGGTTTTCTTAGGGGTCCACACCAGGAGCCTTTGACCCTGAAGGCCTAATCCACAAGGCAGTGGAGAATCGTGAGGAGATGCAGTTCCATGGTAGCCGGTGACCAACAATTGGTTCAATTTGTTACCTCAGGATACTGGAGCCCATGTGCACCATTAGTTTGGAATCAGGGTTTTCCAACTCCCCTAGGTGGACTTTCCGTGTCCACCAACCCGGTTAAAGTGCCAGACATTCGTTTTTCGTCCTCTCAATCTCGTAAACAACATCCCTAGTGCGAGAAGGCAGTGAGTAGGACTTCTCTGGCAGAGGCTGTATACGCGTGGCCATGTAAGGGCATTTTGAGAGGAAGAGCGGACTCTCACACTCTCGGCCGTACTAGGGTATTTGGTGGCTTTGATAGAGTTAATAAAATGTTGAGCTATACTTATATGACTTTTCAATACCAAAGAAAAATATTTCAGTAAATAAACAATTTTAATATTGACTCTGAAGAAGTCTTATTTAAACTTTTTGATATTTCGTAATAATTAAATATATGTAGTTCCATGTTATGAACTAACCAGTTTGAATAGATGTATATTGACACACTTTGTCAAGAACAATATTAGCATGATAATCACTATTATTTCATGACTTAATTATAGTGGTTTATCTAGTTCGGTCACACGTTTCTGTAGTAACTTTAAATTTTCTACCTTGAAACAATGAAATTTTCGAGATATTAAGGTATATACTCTGTTTCTAATAGTTATACATGATTGGATTTACTATCAAACGATTTATTCTTATAACTTATTTTCATGTCTTTTGTTTAGGGGTTAATATTACCTTACTGTGATGTATTTGTATCAAATAGTATAATGTAAATTTTAAAAATATTGAGGATGTACACATTTCTCAGAAATTCTTGTTGATGATCATTTGGCATTATGGAGATTTTGTACATCTTTGCATTAACAATTCGTAAACATCAAAAGTGATCATTTATAATTTCTTTGTCATAATTTAGTATTATAACTAATAGAAATAAGTTAGCGCATCCATCTGATGACTCAATTTTAAAGAACTAACCTTCTTTATACAACAATTTATTTTTTACACCAGATACTGCACCTCAATAATATATAGATCGCAAGTAAACACTATTCATAGTTCACCACACTATCTTACTAATTAAGTCAACTTTTCCTCATCCTCAGTAAAGTTTAGTCAACTAAAATAAGCTAGTGATTAATTATAAATAGAGTACACCAGGTAAAATTCCCATGATCGGCAAACAGATATGTGTTTTTGTCTCCAGATTTAATCATCATTGCTGTTTACAAAACTTGATCGTTTAACCATGATTGTTGTAAACAAAAACAGCAGGTCATTCTTCTTTTTACTCATGACTATTTGAATTTATCCTGATCAAAATATATGCTTCTGGTGAGATCTATATTTATCTATTGTTTAAATGAACATAGAAATATTTTGAAAGCAAGTTAATTAATTTGGACATTCGCTGATTACGAATTATCATTGACCCGGAACTAGTACCTCTCACTCCAGATGTTCAACTTAGCTACTAGTCTGAATGACCAATGGCTTGTGCAACAGCGTAAATTTAAATTAGTTTATATTAGCTGCTTGAATAGTTCTGTTCAAAACCGTTACAATTAAGGGAATGTAAATTGTTTATAATTATTTTTAAATGGATAGAAAAAAATAAGAGTAAAAACAGTTCAGTGGAAACAATTAGCAGATAAGTTTGAGACCAACTTTCTGTGGTCTGCAAACGACATAGGTCATACATACAACTCAGTTTTTAGTATGATGACAGATTGTTTTAAAAGTGAACTGACTTCGAATCCAATTTTATCTGCATTTCTGATGTTCATGAAAACGAAGATCATTAAGCAAAGATAGATTGTGATTAGCACTGGGATCCAAAAGACGCGTTCCGTCCAATTCGGGACTCGTCAGTAGGACATTCATGCAACCTAGAGTTAATGTCCACTACGGGATTCAAACACAGCATGTTTGCTTCAAACATCATTGCGTTACCCACTTAGCTACTGTATCTGAATGGCTACCGGCTTGTGAAATGGCGTAAATTCCACTTCATTTGTGTTAATTGTTTGAATCTCCATATAGATGTTTAGTAGGACTGTAATTGACCAGTCGCTTATAATTTTTTTAGCTTAAGTACAACATCGATGCAATCTACACAAGTGCACATATGCTACGAAAGACTGAATAGTTGCAGTCCTAAACATCAATGGGAATATTTAAATAACTGTCTGAAAATCATTTAGGTCATGTGTGAATTTACTGTGTTCTCAAAGTCAAAATGTTTGTGAAATTCTTTTAATAGAAAATCTAAAGAAAAGTAATCATGTTGAATGAAGTGACGGTGATGACTTAATAATTACTTATGGGATTCGTATGACGAAATCTTTTCAGAATAAAGGTGACAAATTTATTCAAATAAAGCCTAAACTTATACTGTTGGTAGAAAGACTGTTTATAGTTCGGTTTAACTAACTTTATTACTGAATATGAAATATTGTTATATGGTAGCTTATCTATAGTGCCTGAAATTAGTCTTGTATTGAATTGTGGATTTCAGTATGTCCAAACTTATGGACATATCTTTATCTGATCGTAGAAATAGCCCCTGAAATCTTTTTCAAAATTATTCCTGATTCCTAAGATCAAAAGGAAGGATTTCCGACTTTCTAGGTGTGAACTCTCAGAGGTTCCTGGTTGTTCTCTTGATCAGTTTGTGATGATATGTACAGAGTAGAAAGCATTTTCTATACTGATCACTGCCAACTTAAAAACATTAAAGACTACGGTTACTGGATCGTCTATTCGTCTCAGTTTGTGATTCATCGGAGACACAGGGTTTATCAACAAAGTCAGGATTTTTCAGAAATAAGTCTGCCACTCATTTACTGCATTTTCTTCAATTAAAAATGAATATCTTGGCTCACTATACACATCTCACCGAACATTATTCTGTTTTGTACAGATAACAAAATTTCAAAGAATACCATTTTTCCTAGAATAGAAAACTATTAAACAAATACGTTCTTAATCGGTTTCTGATAAATTTGTTATCAGCGTTACGATTATGTGAAGCATGAATATAGCTGTTGGTGAGTCACTGTAGATAATTCATCTTCAAATATTCTTTTCATTGGAGTAAAAATAAATAAGTCAGAAACTTCCATATGTTTATGACTAGGGTTTGTTTCTGCTAAATTCTTTGTCTATACGCTTTATTTGTAGATATACTTCGGGGAAATGAACCAGGGAATTCACAGTAATCATAGATCCTTTTGCTTACTTCTTAGTCTCTTGTTACTTTCTAGTTGATATCTGGATAGGAAATGACTCTGTGCCAATGATTGGATGTAAATTTACCTTACTTAGATATAATATTACAGCATAACAGACCATTTCCATTCACTCAAAAAAGTAGATTTTTATACTTAAGCAATCCCTCATGTTTAGTAGTTTTCAGTTAATAGCACTAATCCAAATCCAATCATTTAGATCAATCATATTAATACAAAGTAATAGTAAGCCATTTATGACTTTTATGTTATTAATTATATGCAATATTAAGAGTTCAGGTAATGTGCCAACAAAACTCCTTTATAGATTATTCTAATTATTCGTTAGTTTAGTAATATAAACTATATGATTGGTTGATTGAATGATTGATCAATAGAAGTGATCAATATAATTGTGAATATAGTGATTGGTGAGTGAATCATTTTAATATTGATTTCAGCTTTTATTTTAGTGGTGAGATGTAGTCTTTATTCGTAAGTTCGTGTTATAATAAGTAGTTCTTCGTTCTTCATTCCTTCATTTTACTGTGCTGATAGGTGAAGGAGTGTTCGAAAAGAGGAAAATGCTTGTAAGATACTCGCATTTACTACTGGATCGTGTTTATTAAAAAGAAGAAGCCTCAATTAATTTTTATCTTTAAAATATCTATGGTAAATTGTGTTGCTTTATAACTTGTTTATTTTACGAGTAATTTTCATGAAGGACTACTACTGGCTGGAGTACTGTTTAACTATTTCATTTTGGCTTGTTACGATAAAACAGTATGCGCACACAAGTTTACGAAACTTCAACAAGTCTCATACTATGATGATACAGTTGTTCTTGGCACTCTGAGATTACGAAAGACATCAGATTATAGTTGAAAGGAGCCCTTCTTAGAATACAAATACTAATTAAAATCTTTCAATTGTTGCAATAAAATCCTAAGACTTGATTATCTAAATGCAGTGATCATTTTATTGAATGTTAGATAATTGAAGTCTATCATCGGGTAAAGTTGAATCTGAGCGGTATGTAGCCTGAATCACTTAAAACTTCAGCTAATAGTACTACTTTTTTATTTTTTTCTATTACAACTGACCAAACAAATAAAATTATGATCTCCTAAGATTTGTTGATTATAAATAATGAGCTTGGAATTAATATCTACAAGAAAAACACATTAAAAGCACAATTTAATACTGAAAGTTTCAGGCGATTGGCTCATCTAATAAATTAGTAAAGAAGTTTCGCAGAGCGGCCTGCTTGAATAACTGGGCTACCTGTTCCTGCTATCTTGATATTTCAACAAGTTATCCAATTTTGTTTGTTTTAATACGTCATCATGTCTATTAATCGTATAAGCTATTCAGGTGCGTTTCTAAAATGTGTACAACCTTTCGTTGTACAAGTTACA